GTTAGTAGAGGCGGCGCTCGTTTTTTCTTTGTTTTTTATACCCTGATCTCATTGAAAATTGGAAATCAGGGTATAATGGTTAAGTGCAAATGTATGTAACAGGCAGAAGGAGGCGTGGCAGACCCCATAAAGTATATATATTCTTGATTAGGAGGACAAGCCGAGTCGATTGAGCCCTTTCTGTCCGTCCGACTGTCCGTATGATTTTTTTGTAGGTCCGTGTAGAGCATATTTTGATTTTTTCGATAGCGATTCCCGTTTTAGTGTTATTGAATAAAAACATGAGCAAAATGCAGTAAATAAAATATATCTCTTACGGCTTAAGAGCTTGAGCCTCAAGCTTTGTATTTAGTTGTATGTATATTTTATGCAATTTTAGTTTTTGTTGTATTTTGTATACCTACTCCAAATTTCTTCAAATTCTTTAAATTTAAGTTCAGTGGGAAATAGGGCTATTATGTAAAGAAGTTTTCATTTCTACCAAGCCAATAGAATATACTAATCATATACTGAAATTTTCAATAAACCCCATTAAATAAAACAGAAGTTATTAAATTTTTTTATTAGTTCAAATCACTTCTTAATACTCGATACAAGTTATTGAAAAAAAACGCAGATAGAGACTTGACTAGGGCTTTCTTAATTGTTTGATTTCTATTGCTTCCAAAAATCTCCCTCTTATGTGGATTAGTTTTCATCTATCTAGCTTTCCAATTCCTAATTCTCCCTTTTAAATGTGTTAACACTTCCTAGTCGGTATCAGTATCAGTAGTAGTTGTCAACATAAAATTTAAGTTCAACGCCGCTTTAATACATAATAATACAGTTGTCATCTCTTCGAATCCTAAATTGCACCTCTATCCCTTTTTTTTAATAGTTCACGATTTTACTCATGCTTTCAAAAATTTCTCCAAAATTAGGACTTGCCAGGCAATAAAATGACACTTTTTGATTTTGAAAACGTTGAAGTAATTTTGACATTCTCTTGACTTGCACGCTCCGGTCTCCGAAAATATATAAAAAATCTAAAAATCTTCTCAATTCACCTAAGAAGGCATCTAGTCCTGTAACTTATTGCTTCTAATTGTATAGTTTTTTGTTGCCATGCAGACAAATAAAGTTACGTATCCTTTAAACGTTTCTTGTCCACGATTCTTTGAGCATATCATATAATAAGGACCAGCATAAGCTATTCCTGAATATATGGGTACGACACTGTAATCATATTCTTAGGAAGATTTTCCATTCTTGTTTTAACGGATGTACTTGCGATACAATAAAATGTAAAGTCCAAAGATCAAAAATTTTCGCTGAATTAAATTTATTATTAGATTGATTATTAGATTTATTATTAGCCTGAGTCCCTGCCCGTTTTTCCGTATGTATGAACGTATCGGTCTCAGAACCTATAATAGCTAGAGATTTGAAAAAATGGCTAAGTATAAGCTATTGAAAATATTTAAAAACAAAGATCGGACGGGGTTTAGGGTACTTAGTCTGACACACAGATTCATTCCGTACTTTCTATTTTTAACAATTAAATTTACGCGTAAAGCAATTATATTTAAATCAGAATACTAATTTAAAAAAATAGAAATATAAATATAATAAATTTTTTTAAAAAATATTTTTTATATATATAAGACTTTTACAACACGCAAAAAAAAAGATATATATATATTAATATTCTCATTTGAAAATCTTTCAATGAAATATGAAGACATTTTGTCAAATTACTTTATTCCGAGACGCCTTTTAGGGGCGTGAAAAGTCGGAAAAACGCAGAGGTGAGTGTCAGAAACGCTATTAGTTTAAGTGGTAGAGACTTTAAATAAAAAAAAATAGATTCGTGTGAAAAAGATATAATAGACATCTCTACGCTCATTGGCGGCGTGACAAATCGGGCAAAACTGTACCTTTCACATTTTGAAAGCTACAATTTGGTATATTACTTACTGTAACTTACCCTCTGAAAAATAACGTATACCTCCACTAGGGGTGTAGAAAATCGTATCTGGCTATAAAATGTTTTAATGTAAAATTATATTTGTATTTGCAACAATACAACATACAATTTAGCTGTGGCCGTGGCAAACCACAAAAGTCTATATCGTCTAAAGTTTATTGCTATCGTCAAAACTCGCTGCAGTTTGTTTAATGGAAACAAGTAATACATCTCTAGTCGGGGGTGGTCAGCTAGGAAATAGCCTGAGCCCTGCGTGGATCTGATAGTACTCTCATTCCACGGTTCTCTTATACATGGCTTACAAACAACACAACGCTTATAGGCTTTACTATGGGACCTTTATTGTTGAATAGCTTTTATTCTCGATGGACTTTCTAAATGAAATTTTCAATGTACAATGATCGATTCTATCGATGAGAGGGAAATGAGATACGTATAGTAGTACTATACAGAAAATACATTTCAAATTTCAAGTTAGTTACGCGAATGGAAAGAAGAAAATTCACACGCTTTCACATATCTATATATGTATATGCAACCAAACTTAAATTTAAAGACTGGGAAAATTATAATTAAAAATAATTATGTATGCAGACCTAAAAAGAAAATTTCACGTCTCTAGCTCGTATATGCTCTAAAATCTTTCATATTTACGGACAGATGGACGGGCGGACACACAGACGGTTAGATCTAAATCGACTCATAGCACCGTCCCAATCCAGAATATATATATTTAATGAAGACTTCCACACGTTCTTCTGCCTGTTTTTGCTGTGAAATCACAATAATTAATAAATTTTTTTAAAAAACAAATACTTATCTCTGGGCGTTGCAAATCACTTGCTGATCAGTATATAAGTACTCTAACCAAATGTGTTCGGAACAACCGAAATGAAATTAATAGTCATATAACCGGATGAAAATCCGAACACCTCTAATCAAGGAATTAAAAACGCAAACACATAATGAACAATAAAAGGCTTAAATATATTATTGATACAAGTTAATCAATAAACATCATGAATATAACTTTAGTCGAATACAAAACTCAATTAGACAACAGTTAGAAGTTCATACTGTTTGTCAAGAGACTCTACACACTGAAAAAAAGCATACTTTATGTGAAAAACTTAATAACCTTTAATTCAAATAAATGAAATTTTTTAATGGTCAACTGTTTAATTATATTTATTGAGTTAAATTATAAAAAAAATACGAAAACTAAAAATGTGTAACTTGATTTATAATATTATTCAAAACTTATTATAAAAAACAAAATGTTAATTTTACACCTGGAGTCAAAAATTGTCATCATCAATATTGAATTGACAAATAAAAACATTTAAATTAAATGGAAACTGACAAACTTAAAAAGATCTTATATGAGTTCAATGATATTCCGTGCCGCAAACGTGATATTCATTAGTACTATAATAAATGCGATTTAAACCAAGCACAAGGATTTATTTATTTTATTTTATTTTATAAACATCGATATAAATTTAAACAAGCATTTATCAAAGAGATCAACAAATAAATAAATGAATTGACAGGGAAGTATTCGCAAAATCCAAAACACCGGTTTGTTCACCAATTTGGATCGTTCCACACAATGCAGATGTCTCCAATAAGGAAAATTGAGAGAGTTGCAAATTTGAAGTTAAGTAGCAGCTAATAATTCAGCACAATTCAATCGCAATTTCGATTCTTCGAATAGAAAATAATACACGCCTTTGAATGTATGTGTACACACGTATAGGGCGCTGCTGACATGTGCTTTTGCAAATTGGCCAAACGTTGTGTTTAATGGATTAATTAATGGATTTTAATGAAATTTTCAGCATACATATTCTATTGACTACATACATATTCTATTGGCTTGGTTGAGATGCAAACACCTTCACATAATGGCCCTATTTCCAACTAAACTTTAAATATAAGAATTTGGGGAAATTTGGAGCCGGTATCCAAAACATAAAAAAAATCAAAATTGTAGAAAATAAGCATAAGCCCACATACAAAATATGGAGGCTCTAGCTCTTAAGCCGTACGAGAAATAATTTAATAACTCTATTTCGGTCATGTTTTTATTCGATAACAATAAAACGGGAAATTTATCGAATATTTGAAACAAACTTGATATGCGCATGATAAACACGGACCTACAAAAATTTCAAGTCTCTAGCTCTAATAGATGCTGAGATCGACATATTCAGACTTAACATAACAGCCGGATAGACGTACAGCGCGCAATCGACTCTGCTTGTCGTCATGATCACAAATATATATACTATGGGGTCTGCCACGCCTCCTTCTGCCTGTTACATACATTTGCACAAAACAATTATACCGATATTCCATTTTCAATGGGATCAAGGTATAAAAAAATAAGCAAAAAAGATACCGCCAACACCTGGCATTGAACCATGAGCTTTTGGGCAACGAGCACCGCCTCCACAGCACACCGTTAAGTATTGCGATTGTGATTTAATTCAGTTTGAATTGTCAGCTGCTACTTTACTTGCGATTTACAGTCCCTTGGACAAACGGTGCAGTGGCAGTGTTGGTAAAGGTATCACACCTAGTCTTGTACCCCAGACTATAATTCTCTTATTCTTGTTTTTTTTTTGCCACAAACATGAAGTGGCTGAGTCGTTAAAGTTGTAATGCAAGTTGTAAAGAAGGTGTTGATTTGAGACCAGACTAGAGTTTTCTTACTTCTTTTATACAATTTATTTTGTCCGTATTTTAAGCAATACGCTATTTTCAATGAGTGGGATAATCAATTGTCCTATAAATATAAGTACATTTATTTTGTGAAATACTTTAAAACTTTATATAAATAATTTCACCTAACTATCTTATATTTTCAGATAACATAATTGTATTTTGTTTTATAATAATTTTTAAATGTGTAGCTTGGCTGGTATTATATGCACAGGTCGAACCTTTAATAGATCATATGATTTATTAACATAAATAAGTAATAACCAAATATTTCTAAAATGTTATATATTTGCATTGCGGGACTTACCAGATATTATATTGATGTTTCTATTATTCACGGGGCTGCAGGCGTTTTAGTGTTCATTTATTTTTGAATATTACATTTTACTTTTAACTGCTGTGTTTGGATCACTTTAATATGCAACGCATGCTGTTAAACAAATAGAATGTCTCTAGTAACTTCCGCTATATGTTATATCTCAATGTATATTGTTATCTACACATCACATAGGTCATAAAGATTACGTAAAATATTGCGGAAATATGTGTGTATATATATATATATATATGTATATATATATATATATATATATATATATTTATATATATTATATTTATATTTATATATATACATATATATATATATATATATATATATATATATATATATATATATATATATATATATATATATATAAATAGATGTACATACATATGTGCTCATCGTATATGCAGTACAAATTCCAATTCTTAATGGAAGAGCCGTGACTGGAAACTTTCTTGCAAGGTTCGGGCGTAATAGAATATTTTTTGTAAGCAAAAACGAAAAACGATGTGTGAAGTTAACTTTCAATATATATATATATATATATATTGAAAGTTAATTTTTTTTTTTTTTTTTGCAATAGCAATCATCAGCAGCAATAGACTACAGTCACATTCAGAATTTGCGAAGAAAACTTAGGTATCTCGTACCGCACATACACATAAATATGATAAGTGGGACAACTACAGAAATGCAACATCTGCTTAATTTACAATACGCTAAACACTTAAATTTTTGCTTGTAGCTCATGCTCATTGTTTACATTTCACTTATTTTATTGTTCACTTCCAAACAAAAAGCAAAAAACATCAGACAATAGGGCAGCTATGCCAATAGCATAATCGTCATATTTGAGGCGCCACTTCTCACGTAAAACTTAAAACGATGATAACAGAAATGGAACAAGGCAACTGTGGATGTTAACAAGAATGTGTGGTTTACCGTCCACTGTTCACGGTTCACTTTTCATGCACAGAAAAGCACTCACCGAGAAGAGAGACCGACAAAAAAAACAATATGTGTGACACGACGAGTGCTACAACCCACGGCTTTCGATATCCTTTGCGAAACTAAATCGTAGCCAAGAGTACACGATAGGTGTTTGTGTGCAAATACGTACATATCTTGACTGTCCTTGTGTTCTACATGCCCATGGAAAATTGTCATATACAGAAATGCACCTTTGTCAGGTCGGTGCCGTTTTCACGGCTTGGCAACTGCCTGCTCAGGTCAAACATCTGGGATGTTACCGCGCAGGCGCCGATAAAAGTATGTGGATGCCATTTTGATACCCTGATCCCATTGAAAATGGGAAATCAGGGTATAATGGTTTTGTGCAAATGTATGTAACAGGCTGAAGGAGGCGTGGCAGACCTCATAAAGTATATATATTCTTGATCAAGACGACAAGCCGAGTCGATTGAGCCTTGGCCGTCTGTCTGTACGTCCGTCTGTCCAACTGTCCGTATGTGTGAACGCGTGGATCTCAGCATCTATGAGAGCTAAAGACTTGAAGTTTTTTGTAGGTCCGTGTATAGCGCGCGCAGGTCAAGTTATTCGATAACTATTCACATTTAATTATTATCGAATAAAAACAAGATTAAGAGCTAGAGCCTCCAAATTGTATTTAGTTTTATGTATATTTTATGCAATTTTGATTTTTGTTGGATTTTGGATACCGGCTTCAAATTTCCCCAAATTCTTAAATTTTAAGTTTAGTTGGAAATAGGGCCATTATGTGACGGCGTTGACATCTCTACCAAGCCAATAGAATATGTAGATCATATGCTGAAAATTTCATTCAAATACATTAAGTAGAACAGAAGTTATTAAACAAAACGTTTGGCCAATTTGCAAAAGCACATGTCAGCAGCACCACTCGCACGCATTTTTCATATGCGTGTGCACACATACATTTAAATGGGTGTATTATTAGCTGCTACTTAACTTCAAATTTGGAACTGCCCGAGTAAGCAGTGCGGTGACTGCGTTGATAGAGGCGGCGCTCGTATTCAGCTAGTCGAGACCGGTGGAGATGAAATATTTTTTATTGCTTATTATAGTGGCGGTGTTGGTCGAGTTGGTGCGCGTTGCGCAAACAATGAATACTCGATACAAACGATACGGAAAATATTAATAAACGCAAATAGGATTGGGATCAGGGTATTTCCTAGTCGGGCACCCCGACTAGAACTTTCTTACTTGTTAAAAACTAGAGTTGCTGAAAATGTATTGTTCAATAACGAAAGTTGAATCGAATTAAAATTCTACAGACATGCTTCAACGTCGACTGCTTAATACGCAGATAAGACAACTATACTAAAATAAAATGTTTTTTCAAATAAATGGGCTATAAGTGTTATCCAATCGTACTTATGCCAGAGTTGCATCATTATATATAGTATTTGGCAACGCATTCCTCAGTTTGTACAAAAAGGGTAAAAAAGGAAAACATTTTAAAATATTACAATATTAATATAAACATATTTTAATATTTGAATTCATAAACCAAGTTGATATCATCGTTCTTAATCTATTTTTTTTTTTATTATATTTATCGGCTCTATTGCCATCATTTATGTGGATTGTATTTATTTTGGCTCATGTTTCGATTGACGACTGCAAAGAGAAGCACAGAAAGGGCTTAAAGGGACAACTATCCTGCCTGACAGATTCGCGCAGGCCCTCTCACAATGATATGGTCCTTTTCGATTTTTTGTATGGGCTATGTTGCTGACAAATAAATTACTGAAGAAAAACTTGCTCAAATATTTGTATTTTTATAATGTTTTATTAAGAGTATATTGGTTTAAACCAATGTACATTCTACTGTCAATATAAACGCAAACCATTTCACCGCTATTGAATATAGAAACATAAAATTTTTAATATATACCCTTGAATAGGTACGCTTCTCAGTGTTAAGAATATCTGGCTTCTCGTACTGGATGTGTAGTAAATCTAGTTCATCGGATATGCTGTTATATGCTAGGGACTTGATATTTGCCATAATATAATACTCGGACAGAACTTCCAGTTATCGAGCTAAAATACTTAAGTATGGAACCCGAGTTACTGTAAAGATCCTCAAGGCGCTGCAAATGGATTTCGACTATATAATGCTCTGTACATATTCCCGTTATATTTGATGTTATATTATTGGTAATATTAGTGGTAGAAATTTTAGATTTATATATCTACGTCACAAGGGGACGTGGTGAATTAGAAGCTTCTCAAGCATTAGAGCTAGAAACTTACAAATTTGATAATTGAGTTACTTTATACCCCCTCTATCGATATGTAAAATTTATTTTATAATTTCGGGTTGTGGCAATTTGAAAATATGTTATATAATAGCCTTAGCCTTAGCCTTAGCCCAAACATTTTACTATTAAGTTACTGTACGCTACTATAGTTATATATTCACAACTATTCAATTAAAATCTCCTCATCTCACGCACTATCGCGAAAAATAAATATATATCTATATATATATATAATTTGTTTTTATTGTGAAGCAATTGACAACATTAAGAAGAAATAAGATAGGTCTTGTCGGAGTGCATTTGCAGTCTACGAGCACCGTCTCTACCAACACCGCATCTGCACTGCTTGCGCAATAAGTTGCAAATCTCAACTTAAGTAGCAGGTGGTAATTCAAGCACAATTTAATCGCAATTTCTATTCTTCGAATAGAAAAGAATACACGCATTTGAAGGTATGTACCCACACGTATAAGAAAAATGCGTGCGCTTAGAGCTGATTGACATTTGCTTTTGCAAATTAGCTAAACGTTTCGGTTAATAACTTCTATTTTACTAAACGGACTATAAAAATGCAGGCTCCTTCATTGGTTGGCTCTTTTTTCAACTGAACTTAAATTTAAAGAATTTGGGGAAATTTTAAGCCGGTATCCAACAAACATCACAATTGTATAAAATATACATAAAACTAAATTCAAAATTTGGAAACTCTAGCTCTTGAGCCGAACGAGATATAATTTTATAACTGCTTTTCAATCATGTTTTTAATGATTTATGACTTTGTCATCGCCAAGCAAACGAACCAACGACATCTCGATCTGATGCATCCCCTCTATCATTCGCATACTGGCGGTCGAAACTTGTTCCAAGTGTAAAATACTCATTCACGGTCAAGGCTATTTGAAGCTTTCACGTAAAGCTTTCATTAAAAACCCTTGCAAGATATGGCTTCTTGTATATCAGAATACGAGGTCCACAGTAACTTAGTCGTCATCTTATGATAAGTAAAATCCGTTAGATGTAGCGACCAACGCAGCGGCTAATAAGAATGTAATATGAGCCTAGACAACGGCCCACAGAAACTAAAATGGGACACTTGTGTAATCATATGTGCATGATAGAAATTATCCTTCCAGTGGCTGGAAGTAGTTTTAGGATTCTGATGTTAGGTATATAAGACAAATATTTTAAGTAAATAAAACAGCTAAGATTTTGAATTCGGTAAATGTTAAGGTGTTTTCCTCTCTCACTTGCTCGTTACATTGTAAGTTTCAAACAGTAGAAGATATAGTCTTTCCCGATTTGCCACGCTCCAGTAAACGTGGACATATAATAGTTGGTCAATCCTTAAAAGTAGTCTATACTAATATATATGGAAGCTACAGGGTATTTTCCGTATCCCACATTCAAAGAGGTTTAAATTTTTTGGTGCATCAATTAAAAGGTTTACAGTAACTCAATAATTGAACTTTTAAGCGTCTATGTAGATAGATACTCCATATCTGTTTTAATGTAATTGTTGTAATTACGAGTATATATTCCAAATTACAAGTCAAATTTATACAATATTTAGGTAAAGCTAATGTGTTGAGAATCCTAATAGTAACTAAAGTGCCCAATTTTAGGGTTCTAGCTCTAAACCTGTATAAGATACATTTTTATCCGATTTGACATATACGATTTTCTATTTCCTTATTTTAACACTTTATCCGACACACGAGTATATATTTCATATTTTAAGTCTCTATCTTCAATGGTGGCGAAATGATGACGGACAGTAAGACGGGCATTGCAAAAAACCAATATACTCTTATACTTTTAGGCGTATCGGGAAACTCTTGACAATATATGCTTCAATACCTATAGACAGACAGCAACACTGGCATTGCACAAAATCAATATACTAATTTAATTTCGTGAATGAATATGATGTTTTTTACAATAACGACATTGTTTTGTTATGTCCTGAGTGTGTCTATCTCGCAAATTTCCAAAAGCTAAAAATTATGAATGGCACAAACCAAGAGTATAAGCATCTTTTCACATACTTTACCTATTCCTGGACCACAATTATAATCATTAAGCATTAGGAGCTGGAAATACGCATTTTAAGACCTTCTCAACTTTGTGTACATTTCTTGGTATGTACGTTTTCAAAACGGCTAAGTTGATTTGGACATAATCCTCTAATCTAATCTCATCTTATTGTTATTTATATTTTATTAAGCTCCCAAAAATATGAAATACAATATAACTAATTTCCCTACTACTGCCCAGGTATCTTGTTGTACATCAAGTTGGCATCTTCAATGTTCCCATCACTTTTGGTATTATCGCAGACAATTTTCCAATCACACAAAGCCGGGTACATTTTGCTAGTGCCATTGGTGCATTTTGAAGCAGCTTGTCCCGATTGATAAATGGACTCGCTATATATATTGTCATAATCATAGTTACAAGTCAAAAGGAACTGGAATTTGTTTACAGTAGCATCCAAAAATTTTACAGCTGCGCAACCTACACGATGGACTCGATCCCCCACCAACATAGTGAAGTGACCAATCTTTTTTCTGAATATAAGTAAGTTTATATATATATATATATGAGTTTAATGTGGGATGTAAGAATTTTTAGCTTACCCACTTGGGTGTCGGTGATAGCTGTCAATAAAACTCTGATTGGCATCATTATGCTCCCGGAACCAGTTAATTACAAAGGATTTTATCCGGCGAGAATGGGACTTAAATTTACGACCAATCCACAAATATCCAATATTTTGTCCACTAATCTTGAACCTCGGCGTATTCCGGCAATCGTCATGTACTAACTGACAGCGTTTGGCATGTAAGACAGCCATCGCCTCTAGCTCTGCATCCCACCTTAGAACTGGCATGTTTGAAGCGGATTCATATCCAGAAAGGTTTCCTCCGGCAATTCTGTTGCGTACCAAATTGT